TATCTATCTATCTATCTATCTATCTATCTATCTATCTATCTATCTATCTATCTAAATATCTATCTAAATATCTATCTATCTACACACACACCATAATTCCTCTAGCTACAGGATTTTCTCAGAGAAGGCAAAAGTTTATAATGCAGCCAGTTTATACAGGTTGCATCACCTTTTTCTGCATACCTTATTAGGAACAAACCAAAATGTATTTGATTTAGGAAAAGAACAGCCTTGCCATTGATTGTATATAGTTATACTGGTTTTCTCTCTCAGGACAAAGAGAACTTGTTTCTTACTATTGTGTGTTTCTTAATGCTTATTCCCTTCCCTGCCAGTACTTTGTTTTGTGCAACTTTGCTGTTATAATGGCTTCTACCCAATTCTATTGGGCATTCAAAATATCGCTTTGGTTAAGTCTGCTAATATTTACTGATTCCAGGGTCGAGTAACTTTCTTTTTTCAGTCCTCTCACTATCTTGGCAGCCAGTTTGCTAATGTTCTTTTTAGATTGGAGTTCCCAGAACTGACCAAAGCAAAGTGGGACAATTATTTCCTGTGACTTGGACTTTATGCTCTTTTATATATCCCAAAGTTGCATTTAACTTTTTTCAGTAGCCACTTCAACCTATGATGTATTAAAACCACGCATATGCAGCCATCAAGCCAGTTATGTTTTCTTGTGTTTTCATTTTTTATCCCCAGATGTAGTTTACATTTCATCCAACACATTTCAGCTCACATTCAAATCTGTATAAATCTTTTTAAACACATTATATTCCTTCTAAAGTATTAGCCGCTCCTCCTCTTTCTGCTCTTTAAGTTTAATAATTACTTTCTCTTTAACGTCATTAACAAAATATTAAATACACAAAATGTTCAATAACAAAATGTTCAATAACACAGAATTCAGGACATTCCTTTGGCACTCCACTCCACTACAGATACTCCTCGAGTTATGACCATAATCGAGTCCATCATTTATGTTGCTAAGTGAAACATTTGTTAAGTGAGTTTTGCTCCATTTTTTGACCTTTCTTGCAACAATTGTTAAGTAAATCATTGCAGTTAAGCTAGTAGCACAGTTGTTAACTGAATCTGGCTTCCCCATTGCTTGTCAGAAGGTTGCAAAAGCTGATCACATGACTGCAGGACACTGCAACTGTCATAAATATGAACCAATTGCTAAGCATCTGAATTTTGATCGCGTGACCATAGGAATCCTGCAATGGATCTAAATTTGAAAAACGGTCATAAGTCAAAATTTTCAGTACCATTGTAACTTTGAACGGTCACTAAATGAACTGTTGTAAGTCGAGGACTACCTGTACTTTCTAAGCTTAAGTGGAATTATTAGGAATATTCTCTACTGGTAGTCATTTAGCAAATTATGAATCAAGTTAAAAGCTCTATTTATTACCTACTTCATATTTTAGGATTTTACCAATGAGAAAGGATTAATGAAACACTTCCACTAGTTGCTCCAGTAACCTAAATGTAATGCATCTGATGCTGAAGGATTAGCCTCATTTACATTAGCTTTCTTTCTTGTCTGTCCTAAATGGCAGTTCTCTTTTTTTCCCATAGCATGATGGTTAGTCAGGGTTTCATTTCTTTCTAAAAGAGAGTAGATGTTAAGTACAAGTTAAAACATTCTGCCTTTTCACTGTCACCATTTAAAAATCCACTTTCTTCTGGCCACCAATCTACAGCTTTTTGCCTTTCCTTTTGTACCTAGTAAATCCATAACATACTGTATTTTTTCGGACCATAAGACACACCTAACTTACAAGAGAAAAAAAAGTTTCTGGCCTCCATGCATCATGTTTCACCCTCCCATGTCCCCAGAAACGCACTGCAGTATTCGGCCTGGCCCATTTTAGCCAAAAACACACCTATTTTTGGCCTACAAAGTGTTTCTGGGGCCTGGGAGGACGAAAACATGCCACAGAGGGTTTGAGAAGCCAAAAATG